ACCCAAATGGCTACGTTTACTCATCCTGACTTGCTAGCTGTCATCCCTTGTAAACCAGATACACTCGTTTGGCTCGGTGTTCGTGCCTTGTTGCACTTCCTTGGTATGTGTGGCTCTGGGCAGCCTTCCCCCTGGGCCGGCTCGGTGTCAGATGCTGCTGGGAGGCTGGGAACGGTGCGGCTGGCACAGCAGCCTGTGATGTGGGAGATGGGTTGGGATACGTCTGGAGTTGTGCTCCCTGGGAGCATCTCAGAAAGACCCTTTCTGTCCTTTTCTGAATGAATTGCTCACACGCTGGTATGGAACAGTTCGGGCGCTGTCAGTTCCTCCTGGATGTACCTACACCTAGCGGTAGGTCACGAGCAAGGATGGTGCTGTTGCTGAGTGTTGGCTTGTGTAAAATGGAATGCTTGGCTTTCAGCATTCAGTGTTCAGGTTTCTCGTGTTTTATCTCTACCCTGTCAGTAAGGACCAGTACAGGAGATGCATCTAATGAGGGCTTAGCAACAAAAACTCAGTCTAGGCAAACCACATAAAAAGCCAAAGAATGACATTGCGTTGTTTGGAAATCAGAGTATATTAATCATAGAATCACAGGATGGTTTGGGTTGGAACGGACCTTAAAGATCATCTAGTTCCAACCCGCTGCCATGGGCAGGGACACCTTCCGCTAGACCAGGTTGCTCCAAGCCTCATCCAGCCTGGCCTTGAAGACATCCAGGGATGGGGCATCCACAACATCTCTGGGCAACCTGTTCCAGTGCCTCACCACCCTCTCTGTGAAGAATTTCTTCCTGATATCTAACCTAAACCTCCCTGTTTTCAATTTGTACCCGTTACCCCTTGTCCTGTCACTACAGGCTCTTGTAAAAAGTCCTCTCCCAGCACCCTTGTAGCCCCTTCAGATACTGGAAAGCTGCAATGAGGTCTCCTTGGAGCCTCCTCTTCTCCAGGCTGAACAAGCCTGCCACGTGTGGAGTGAGCTACTATTCGTCTAAAGATTTATACGGCAGACTGACATAGTTCTCTCATAGTTGCCCCCTCCTCCCCTTTTCCTACCAGTTTTTTTTTAATGTGAAAGCCTGTGATTTGGCTTTCACATGATACTTTTCCCACTTAGGGATTCTGTCTTGTCTCTGTTTTTTTCCTGTCTTCCCCTCTCCTTTCCCTGCCATGCATTGTTTTGGTTTTCCCCTCCCTGGCTTTATGGATTTTTGTCAGCCTGTCCTTGAGCACATCTTCACTTGTTAAGAATAACTCTGGATCAGCAAACCTGA